CAATTATATACCATCAAAAATTGCATAGTTCTTCCAAAAGTGAGGCGCACTGGTGCCAAATAAACTGTACAGCGTTTGTAACGCGACAGACCGTGGAATGATCGTACATATTTGTCAAGACGAAGAAGACATGCAGACTTTATGTGGTATGTTGAAACATTATAAGGGGAAAAAACAAGATTTGTGAGTAGCATAATTCTCGTGTGAAATACTGGAAAGATGATCTAGAAGAGTAATTGACTGTTAAATCTACTCCCGATCTCCTATCTGTATACTACTGTGCAATTGCGAATATACTGCATCGACTGCAAAGGGTGATAGTTTTTTTGTATAATGTAGGCATCTCGGCTCACTAACATCTAAAGTGCTTCTTTACATGAAAACAAAGCACCCCGTTCGTGATGAAACGTAAAACTATACTATTGTAAATTACGATAATTGTATGTATTTAACCATGGAACTTCAGGTATATAAAGTTATAATCATCATAATGTTGTCACTTTTGGTATTTAAAAAAAAAACGAGTGTATAATTGCACTAGTTTCGCATTCTTGCGCGCACCCATATTATAAATGTATTGTTTGGTCGCTTTTATACATTTTCTTTTTTTTTCTTTTGTTAGTTACCAGAATTTATCGACGTTATATTTTATTAACGAAAAGAATAGCTATTAAACCAAAAAGAGAAGATACCGTCATATCATGTTTTCAAAGAGTTGAATTCGAAAAACGAGAACGGTACTTATTTAATTGTATTTTATGTTTATGAAAGGCGACGTTGCAGGTTAAACAGTGCCACAATTATTAATGATACGAGCAGATTTCAATAATTTTCTTGTGGTGCCTTGAATAAAATTCAAATAATAGAATTCAAACATCTGCTTTTTGTAGAATTTCTCGTATAACTTTTTACAATCCTTTCATACTGTAAGTTACATTATCGGAAAACGTACATTTACCTTATCCCTTATTCATACTTTAACTCTTACTTATTGCTCTATATCATCGACATAATTTATCACTTAGAAGTAATAGTTGTCACTTTAGTTTATTAATGACGTTAACAGTTTTCTTTCGTTTGCAACGAAACGACTACTTCTTTGAAATTTATTGTCCCAAACGAGATTCAAATGATTTCTTATCACCGATAAACGATGTACGGTTGAGTACGGTACGTTTGGATATGGATAAACGATGCTTTTTATTAACAGATAATTTGTAATTATTATGGAGTAGTTATTACAGCTTTAATAGTAACTTTTTGAAGTTTACTATGTAAGGAAGTTCTACGGATATGGAGGAGAATTAAGACACGTACTATGACATTCTATTCGATGTTTACATGATGTATAGTCCAAATAATAATCTTATATGTCTACGCCATAAGTTCTACGATTTCTTCTTTTTTTTACTTTTTGCTTTTAATTCGTACTCATTTCTAGGATTTGCTTAAAAAACATGAAACTGTAATATTTGTTAATACGTAAATAAAAATGAGTTTTAGTTGATCAAAATATGAGTATTGAGTGAGATTAATCATTTCAAGTGTATAGTTTCGCGAGCAAACATGGACGGAAGGTTTCAGTTGCAAAATAGATGTCGAGTACCAGACCACAACCAACATTTACATTCTTTTTTTTTATGTATTTAATGGTAAAGTGACTTCAAACGTAACGTCGATGTTAGTGTACTATTAACGAGCATTCGCATTAACTTTTCAATTACATTGTAACAAGCAAAAAGAATGCAATTGTCGATTCCGTCTGGTGAAACAGTAATTCATACTGTGGTATTATTTACGTTGATTATAAAATGTACAGTTATAACTTTATAAAGTTAATACGAAGAATAACATACACATACCCGCGCGCACGCGCGCGCGCGACATGCGCGCGCAAACACGCACGTGTTTCATAGCATGAGTCATTTTTAAATGTATACTTTACATTTTTGCATTGTGAATAGAGATAATCGTTTCAAATGATTTCTCCTCGAAGAAACATAGGAACAAAAAGCGTGACCAACAATGCGTTCCCATGAGGCGCTTTCAAATCCTTACAACTTGGTGTATGTGCCATACATGGGGAATAAATTGTTTTATCGTAAATCGTTAAAACTACATCGAGAACTGCTGATATGTGGAAGAAGTAAATAACTGTAAGTAATAAATATTTAACAACTGCACCTGCACACCGCGCGCGTACGCGAGCGCGCGCGCACACACACACCACTACACACGCAGCAGTTTATATATATTATACAAATTTGAATAACAGCTGTATGGATAGAACATATTTCAAGATCGTGAGAGACCAAATATAGAATAGCTCTCTTTAAAGGAATAAAAAATGTAAATCTGTAATCAAAAACTTTCAAGAAACATCATTAATTCTATTCTCGCCGCAAAAACGCTGCAATGCGTAGACTACTTGGGTATTTTTATTAACTAAAGAATATTCCAAAAATTCAATATCTTCGAAATATTGTTCCTTGATGAATAAATCTTACAAATATACGTACGATTTTTAATGGTTGTCAAATATTTTGCAACAGCTTGAAATGTAAATTCTAATAACAGGTTAATTTCTTCTTACTCATTTATTGAAATAAATATGCGTTTGCATCGAAATTTATTCATTCTTATTTTAAACGTAAATGCTGATAATATTTCATTAATAAGCTTTAAAGGTATTATTTGGAAACTTTTTTTTAGTTAAGAAACCAAAGTATTACGTTATAATCAATTTAATCAATCATCTAAACTCGAAAGTATATTTAAACGATTTATATCACAATTTCATTGCAATTTTTAATAACATCGAGTTTTTACGAAAACCATTTTAAACAACTTGAAACACTTCTGTTTATTAAAATACTATGGGAATATACTGGCGAAGAAAAAAATAGCGGAGTGATTGGAACAATAATAACTAACAATAAAAGTAATTGCTCGTTTTATATCAGTATATATTTTAGATATATTTCTCACTCTTCGTGTATACTTTTGTCGAGCTTAGGGGCAAACATGTTAAGTGTAACGTGTAATAGGTAAAAATAATAAAAGAGAACGCAAAATATTCTAAGGGAAGAGAAAATGTAAACGAAATCTAAAATTCAGATCAAGCAGTTTGTTCTCATAATAATTATTATATATTAATAATTTTTGTATTTTTATTAAGTATTAATCTATAAAACGAAAATGCAAAATGCATTATGCCATTACTGCTGTTATATTATTATTTAAAAGAAAGATAATAACTACTACTGTGTATAAATATCAATATCTGAGAATAAATGTATTAAAGGAACCCTGTGACATGTAAATATCTTGTAATACTTTTCATGTAATACCTGATAATAGTGATGCAACTGATGCAATATCAAATTCAAAATTTACATAGTTGATGAGAAATATTGAATATCATCGAAATATTGCATAGTACTTTAAATACCGACACTTTTTGTGACAATGTTAATTAATAACAATTTAATGAAAACCGAATTTTTTAAAAATCAGCGGAATTTTGCAGCTTATAATACTCTCGCTTCATATATTCAATCTTAATTTGTCTATCAATGTTTCTGTTTCTGTTTCTATTACTGTCGTTTAGTCCATTCATTTTTTCGTTCATTGAATTTCTAACTTTTAAAAATGTTGTCCAGCTAGTATGGAAACTAGGAAATACTTTTCTTTCCTCTTCAATGTAATCATTAAGTAAAGACTAAGTAGTTCCCTAGTTCTATTTCTATTAAAATCTATATTCACAAATTTATTTCATTGATGTCGATGGAACAAAATATGAAAGCATATTATAAAAGTTTCCCCTTTTAATTGTAAGTGGTTTCGTAATATTGTAAGATTTATATTAATATATTAATACAAACATATAGCACAGAAAAACATGAATCAAATAATGCTAATAATAATTACATAGTGATTGATACAATCTCGTACTATTCTCTATCATTTTATAATTTTCCGATATTACATAGTTTCTAATAATAGTTTTTAATAATAAATTCAGTCATATTGTTAAAGCTTAATCGTATCTATCAGTTTCAAGTGTATATGAGTGTATATATCAGTGTTATAATGATGACATCGTCGTACCTCTTGCATCCCTTACCAGGAAGAAACAATATATTTGAAAATTCAATTTTACCATTCAATGATAGAAAAAGCTTTCAACTGTACAAGGATTTAATTATTTTAAAAGTATCATTTATTTTCTCAAGATTGATTAGATTGAATACAAATTCATTTCTGAAACGAAATTGCGGTTTTTCAAAGAATCAATTCCCTTCACGCGTAAGGAAATTTTGTAGTCGTCCTATTTCAAGAGAGGAGATACTCTTTTACAGAGTATTTTGCGTGACCTGAAAAAAATATGAATAACTGTGTTATTATTTCTTCATGAGTCATATTTTCCCTCAAAACCACTGAACTGAATAAGAAGAAGATATCGTATGCGAAAAACCAACTTTCAAATAGTGCTTCCGCAAACGATATTTTGAAGTTCTGCAGTTATGCTCGTATTTGTTATTACTGGTACAGTACACTCGGGCGGCAAAAGACAAATATGAAATATTCATTTTATCTAGCTAATATCGAATTTGAATTATACAAAGCCGTATAATTGTCAATAGTGTGGATAGTGAGACAATGTACGACTTTGTAGTGAAGCGTGTGCGGGGGGCTCCTTTCTGACGCGACGTTTGCGGAAAATAAAAAGCGCCGGCGACGAAAGATGTGTCATATTAATAACATTTACTTTTTAACATTAGACGGGAGAAAAAGATTTTTTGGAGCAGAATATAGAAAATAAAGAGCACGGCATGTGCAAGTAATCTTTCTTTGTATGAAAAAATAATTATTGTTCTTTTTTCTGTTTGTTTTTGAAGAAATGTTGAAAATAACTATACGAAAATGTCTATTCTACGTCAAAGATGTCTCACTTAAGTACTTCCCTCACACTAGTAACTCGAAAACAGTGTTCCCCACTCTAAATAATTCTATGTACTTAGTATTTAATACAAACAGGTAAAAGTAGATATGTACCTAGATATGGAGAGGGTAAGTTTTAGACACCCTTGTGTTATATACTTATCGACAATTCCTGTAAGAAATAATAATACATTTATGAACATGAAAAAAGGTGGACATAATGTAATTTCTACAATTTGTGAATGAGGCAAGAAAAAAAGAACTCAGAAATAAGAGATCAAAATATTTTTCACTCGTTAGTTTTTTACAATTGAGGTTATTGCTTTTGCAAATAAAATATGTTTTAGAGGTTATGTGTCAATGCAATATTGTTATCATTAGTGAAACAGTATTAAATTTGTAATATAATGTTATTCATTTTAAAATAGTACAAAATGGTTACTACATGGCATCAGCAAGTGTTTGCTCTTGATGCAAAATATAATGCTCAACGTGTAAACAAGTTACCTTCTTTAGGTTTGTATATTTATAAATTTTATATTCAAATATATACAATACACTACATTTCAATTTAGAAATAATATAATTACAGGTATGCTTTATATTCGTCGTAGAAATCAGTTATTAAAGGAAAAGTTTTGTAAAGATCCAAAAATCTGTGAAAAGTATTTGAAATTGAGATCAAAATTATTATTTTTACGATATGGTGAGAGCTTAGAACAAAATAGTCTTGGAAGTCATACAACGGAAGAAGAAAAATCAGAGATCAAAACAAAATTATGTAGTAAACAACGAAAATCAATAGCTGAAAATTTTGCATTTGATGGAGTGCATCATGTTTTTGATCAACACAATGCTCCTGTAACAATGTTGAAATTTGCTAATAATGATAAATCAAAATTATGCTGCGCATCATTGGATGGGTTATTATCAATATGCGAGACTATTAGTGTCCCTCCAAAAGTAACAGCATTGTTGAAAGGTCATAAAAAGGGTGTTACTGCATTAGATTGGAGTATAAGTAATGATCTCATAGTTTCATCTTCTTTGGATGGTACTATAAGACTTTGGAATGTTGCTGCAGAAATTAGTCCAGCTTTTTTACGAGAAGTTAAGGATCAACAGAGAGCAGAAGTGTTATGTTGTGGATTTATACCTATAAATAATAATTTAGTTATAGCTGGCAATTCACAGGGACTTGTACAAATTTTAAATATATCTACTGGTATATACACACGTGGTGGATCTTGTAAAATTGGAGGAAAAGTTAGTTTCTTTTTACATTTGATAATAAAAATTCAGAAGAAACATTTTTCAAGGTACTGTAATTTCTATTTCAATTCAGGTTTTATCATTGACTTGCGAAGGCAGTGGTGGTTTGGTGATATGGGCTGGAAATGATAGAGGAATTATTATGTCGTTTCAATTAGAACCAGGAACTGGACGATTAACAAAATTACGTAGAGTACAAAAAATTGGTGGAATGATAACGAGCCTCTCTTGGCGTTCATGGTTTTCAAGAAATGCACCATGGCCAGCACTTTTAGTGAGCAGTGCTTGCAATGCAATATTATTATATCACATTATTGATAATCAAGGATCTTTAACACTTTGGACTAAATATCCAATAAAACATAAGTAATTTATATTTTGGATATAATATACTTGTTATATAAAAATCATTTACACTATATAAACAAACATGATTATATTACACAAAGTAAAATATAATTTTGTTCTTTCATAGGCAACATTTTGTCAGATCTACTTTTGGTCCTCAAATGGAATCATGCCTAATAGCGACTGGTTCTGAAGATGGCACAATTCACTTATTAGATTCAGCTAGACAGGGAAAGGCAGTAAAAATTAATCGACTCGAGGGCCATGCAACACCAACACTTGCATTATGCTTTAATTACGATGAATCTCTTTTTGCATCTGCAGATCATCAAGGGCTTATTATTGTATGGCGCAATCGACAACGTCATATATAAATAATAACGTGTAATAATATTATGTAAATAAATATATTAAGAAAACAATTTTTTTGCGTAAACTAGGAAAAAAGTGTTTCTTCCTTGATTATGTAAAAATTGTTTCCCTCTATTTAATAATAAACAACATTTAATTGGGCTTTTACTGCAATAAGGTAACATTAATTGAGAAAAATTAAATGCAGTCAACGCAAACTCACATAATTGATTATGGTGTGGGAAGTAATAATAATGAAACACATATTCTGAGCAACTAAATTTCTGTTCTGTATAACAATATATTAATTGTTCTCTATTAATACTCTATATGTTATAATGAGCATAGAGTTAGCAGTATCATTAATAATAATTTTAAAATTAGAAATTGTGTAATGATCGCTGTGCTATTAACAATAATTGTAAGATGTATTCTTAATTTTACATAACTGAAATTATGTGACGGCATGAGTACCAAATATATCAATATATCTTTTTTTAAAATAAGGGAGTTGTTATTGTTATAATATATTCTGCATTTACGCTATGATTTATTTTTGCTATAGTAATATTTAATGATTTTTGAAAGATATTTCTTTGCGTGAATTGCTTATGAATTAATAATGTATCATTGGTATTTGTTGTTTGCTTTATAGTACGTTCTCAAATAAATAATCATTACTTCATCAATTCAATATTTAATACTATATTCACATTAAACAGTTTTTTCTCGTGCATTTTAATTTCATTCAAATTTTATGCGTGCTCATTTTCTATAAAAGATTATCTAAATATTAAAAATTATTAGAAAGGCTACTTTAGGTGCTTAAAAATGTTATTTAAAAATACTTAAATGTACGATAGCAGATTTTTAATAAATTTTTGCCTGATAATTAGCTAACTTATTTCATCGAATCAATTGAAGTAAAAATGCACGCATCGTGCCTAATCACAGACCTAATAACAATAAAGATTAATACAATACGCATGTATAAAAAAATTATTCGTGCTCCAATAATAATTTTATCTAAAAACTGACACTGGATCGATGTACTATTCCTTATTGGACATTATAATACTTTTAGAGTAGAGAGCCATTTCCTACTTGCATAATCTTAATATAATACAATGAAAAATGTCATATTTGAAGATAACAATAACAAAAAATCAATTTGAATAAGTGTCATATATCATCAACGAAAATAATAACATTAACTTACACAGGCACTACCCATCGTATAACAATTACCTACTGAACAATCTTTAATTAATATTTACACGCGAAACAAAACCATTCAATTGTTTTGATGTAGCCTTTACAAATCGATTGTCAGCTATTCGAATAGCGATTTATATTTTTTATTATCATTGTGAAGCTAATTGTATACAAAATTATGTTAATATTAAGCTCTATTCATATCAATACATCTTTATACAAGAAAGAAAATTCCATATTTTAATATGAAATGCTATAGACAATCGATTAAATTTCAGCAATAAAATAAAAATTTGTTACATTTTATGTACACTTAGAACTTATGTATAATATTCGAGATTCAGTTTATATACAATGATCTCACTAATTGGAGTAATCACTGTAATTTTGCAATGAAATTATTTCGGACGGACTTCAGCTAAAGTATTTCTTTTAAAAATTTACAGTTGGCTTTGTAATACGTTAGTCGTCGATTAAAACACTGCACTTATCGGTGGGTTCAACTTTCTCATGGCTAACACAGTGCACACTTTTTGAAGACGCTGGATTAAAACTTCTCTCTTCTTGAATATCACAGAGAGGCACCGTTGGCGAAAGATCATGGTTCGAAGAGTTTGGTAGGATGCATTGATTTTGTGTAAAGTTTATATTTTCTGCTGATTCCAAGAGCTTGTCTTTGTCTTCTAATTGCTCGATATCATCCTTTTTTATCTGTTTAACGAAGAAAGAATGTGTGCCATTTGTAGATAAGTTTAATTTCAAACGATCTCTAGTGTGTCTGAGTTCTCCTAATTGATGTTGTTGACCATGGCCATATTCATTCAGTAATTCTATTCTGTTTTGCTGTACTCCTTGTTGACCACCATCTACCTCATCTGATTCTTCATTAGCTGATGTGGAAGCACCAGGAAAAAATTGACTTACATATTTACTCTCACTAGTTTGAAATTGAAATGGACGATTTGAACTGCTCACAAAAAATTCTTCGTTGCCTATAAAGAAAACAAATTTTAATAAGTAATATACAGAGTATAATAAAATATGCAAGATCCACTTCAGGAGTGGACAGGAGACAGAAAAACAATTAAAAGAGTATATTTTAACGTGTATTTTATTTGATCTTGTTTCAAAGTTTATAATCATTTTTGTGTTTCACTAATTTGCAAATTCTTACTTTCATAGTACTGAAGTACTTTGTGCGTGTACAAATTAAGGTTCCTAACAGATCTCAGATAAAACTGGAATTTCTTTAAAATTCCAGAATTCTTTGATATAACAACCATAGGCTTCTATACAGATGCTAAGCAGCTGCGAATCACTAAAACACAAGTTTATATGAAATTTTTTTATTGCTTTTATAATCTTCTGTCCACTTTTGAAGTGAGTCCCACTTATTCTGGTACACTCTGTATATTAGTTTCATTAGAAAGACACAAATCTACTAAAATTATGTGAATATTAAAGGAGAAATAAATAAATAAATAAATTTTGAATAATAGTTTCACTAACGAAAGTTTAAGTAAAGGCAAGATCCTGACCATAAAAATATAGCATTATAGCAGCAAATACTCAATAGTTTTTTAGATAACTGTTATGAAAGTTTTATTAGAATTATATTTTATTATCTAAAGCATATTATTATTAGCAGCCGTGATGGTGTTGAGGTATTGTACTACATTTATAAACTGTTAGCCTAAATTCTTGTCCCATGTGATGTCATTTTTTCCTCATTGTTTTTATTGATCTTTTTATATTTTATAATTTATAATTTATATTTCACACATAAAAATACATACGTAATTTTAAATACGTTCAAATGACATGTCTTGGTTTATTAAGAAAGGTTTGAATTTTATTTGTAATGTTATAATTGTCGGAAATACCAAATACCAATGAAAATTTCCTTTTCAGGAAAAAAATTCGTTCTTGTAAAAACTAATAAATCTTACAATTAACACCTCTAAAAAATTATCAATGTATAATGTTCAAGATTATTCTACAGAGAATTATATTGTACCTGATGAAAAAATCTCTTTCTGTCATTGCTCTATCTTTTATATAGTCTGCTTTTCTGGCAGTATATGAATACATCTCCATTTGCCACAATCATTCTAGTTATTTAAAATTTATAATAATTAAGTACGGGTTTTTATGAGTGAAATATAAATTATAGGTTATAAAAAGATTAATAAAAGCATGAGAAAATAAGTTACATCACATAAATTTCGAACTCAAAAATATGATTCTAATAAAACTTTCATAACAATTATCTAAAAAAAGCATTAAGTGTCTGCCCCTATAACGCTATATTTTCATGAACAGGGCGGCGGTATTTATT